TTTGTTCATAAATTATTTTATAATTTAAATTACTAAAATTGTAGTTAACTTAACAAACTGGGCCGAAGTAGATGGCTAGGAATAGGAAAAATAAATAAATTTGTTAAAATAATTTTTTTCTTTGGCAAATATTAAAAAAAAAACTATGACAGTTCTACTGCAGCCCATTTAGCAATTATGAACTACAAAAAGATAGTAATAAAAGCACAAAAATAAGGATATAAGTTTTAAAAAAAATATTAAGCAAAATTTTGGCAATTTTTATAAAAAATCTTAAAAGTCTAACTATCTTGGAAATTGATATTTTTGGGATATGGTATTTCATAGTGAAATCTATCAGGAATGGTAAAATGGCAACTACAACCCCTTAAAGTATTTAGGTTGACTCACCTAGTAACCCTGTATATATTATAAGGAGTTATGTGGGCAAATTTTTTTTTGTAACTTGCATTAGGAAAGTGGTCCAGATGAAAGATAGGTTTGATTGTTCATTCATCATCATTCTCTAAACTTAGATTGGAATCACGTGCTGACACTGCAGGTCGTTTGACACGCTTATGTAGGACACCTGTTAGGCCGGAAAATATGCAGAAATTGACTAAATACACACCTCACTTTAATCACGATGTTTCAAACCTATTTTTTAGTACCACATAAGGTATTACTCATTCTAAGATTAATAAAACGATGCAGTTCAATGGTATTTAGACGAACTTTCTATTTTGTAATTATCAATAACCAGTCTATTTGATATTTTGAAATTTTAGCACACTTTTTTAGGGTTCTGTACCTCAAAAGGTAAAAAAGGAACCCTTATTCTTATAAGGATTCCTTGTCTGTCTGTCCGTCTGTCCGTGTGTCTCAGGAACGGGTGGACCTAGCAGGTTGAAATTTATAGCAGATACTGAGGTCCCTAGTAGGTGTATAAAAATGAAGGTCTTTAGTCAACACAGTAAAAAGATATGGGCAAATGTAATGGATTTACTTGTGCTGTAAGACCTTGCTTTAAACCAAAATTGACAATTCTACGTCAACCGGAAGTACCCTATAGGTTTTGGGTCGAAAACCTATATGATAGTTCCGGTTGACCTAGAATCACGAAATTTGGCAAAAAGAAACGTCGTACAAATTTTTGCTAAAATCTACATAAAACTGGGTAGGTACGGAACCCTCGGCGCACGAATTCGACTCGTACCTGACCGGTTTTTTTGCTAATGAGACATTTACAAAACTTGTTTAACACTCAGATCTAAAGGCTTATCATGACACCGAAAGTATCTACTAGAACATGTTTATGTCAAAATCTTCTGTAGTAAGATGGGACTAATCCCACCCACACGCCCACCACTGTAACTCCTGTACACCAGGATCCACAGCAGTGACCCACGAACACACCGAGTTATGACACTCGGGAAGTCCCAGGAAGAAATTAAACTGTCTTGGAACCCGCAACGAAATTAATCAGAAGAAAATTGGAGGAGTTGGAAATACAGTAAATCCACTTCCCTCCTTAGCAAAGCGGGAGACAAAATAAAGTAAAATGGGCATACACCCTTTAAAACAGGGAAGCACCACGGCCACAAATATTACGGGGCCTACGTGAGCTATGTTTGATTTCTATAATATGTATGGCAGAATCGCCTAAACGCACGGAAATTCATCTGTAGTAAGATGTTAGCAATGAGATTTATAAGCTGGCCGTCTTTTGTCCATGAGCCACTTCATTAAAATTCCATTCGATAAGTGACTTAATAAGGCCCATCCACTCGATTAGAGTGCCACTTACTTTCAGGGTTGCGTGAGACGCAGATGGAATTTCAAACTAAACAATATTGATATACCGGTACGTTTTTTTTATGGCGTGGGGTGGCAAACGAGCAGACGGGTCACCTGATGGTCAATTGATTGTGATTAACCACGGGCTATTTCGTAGTGGAAATGTGATGTGGGCTAGTGAGTTTTTTAATTCCTTCTTCTCTTCTTTACTTCACTTTCTTTTTTATTCGAACTTTTTTTGTAATATTGCTTTCTATTCATTGTCTTTTTACCATTTATTCCTTAATAACTATCATACTGGCACACATCGAAACAATTCTGTGGTATATTTAATTATGCCATTGTCATTGATGCGCGAGGGGCAGTGCTAACAGCATCCTGGCGGAGTTATCAAACCGGTAGGATTCCCCCCTATTTAAAAGGTAGATGGAGCTCCATACAGTTAAAAATATTGTATTGAAATAATATTATGTACCTTACTTTGTTGCGTCTGCATAGGGAGGATTTGCGCAAGATATCTGCCAGGAGCTGGATGTGAGAAGCTTAAAATCGATCTAAGTAGTGTGTAATGGGAGAGGCCTATGTCCAGCAGTGGACTGCGTTAGACTGATGATGATGATGTACCTTACTAACCATAGTTTTTAAGTGAAATATGTATACTTATAACTCTGGGCTTGTGCCGAAATAAATTATTATTATAATTGTAACTACCTATTAATTTAAAAAAAACAGGGGCCGTGAGTTTGTTTGCCCTTTCTTCTCATAAGGCCCAACCTTGGAAACGCCTTGGCCAGGCCTTGGAAACGGGCGGTTGTAGATCGGCTCACGAATATAATAGATTTTCGATTCGTATATATTTATTTTGCTAAATATTTTTGAACAACAAACAAAATAATGTATTGTACGGGAAAAAAACATTGAACACGTGACACTTTTACCGTAAATGACACTTCTGTACATAAGTATATAAGTTTTCACTTCTGTCGGCACTCCCGGAGTGCAATTTTTTTTTTTTTAAAGAAAGATATTTTGAGTTTGAGCTTGCAACTTAAGAGTCACAAGTGCGTTGCTGACTTTTGAGTCAGACCCTCTCCCATAATCAACAATCAATCAATTGACTCACTCACTCAGTGAAAAACTACGAAAGAACATAGGTTTTCTGTGAGGCCGTGGTATCACCATGGTCGAGCCGACGCATTTTGGTAGAAGATTGGCTATCCCACAGTAAAGGTACGGTCAACTTTTTTGTAACAAGTAATCAGTTTTGCCATTCGACTAGTAACGGTAAGTTATTTTAAGATACTTGAAATTGAATGAATAAAAACATTAATTTTTTGCCGCACCATCTTTACGAGGTAAATGGCCTGGTGACAAAAAGCGCCTCAAGAAACTCAACAGTTAAACCATTTCTAATAAGAGTTACTTGAACATAAATTTTAACAAAATAAGCAAAAGCGCGGGCGGGACAACTTAAAACTAAACGATATCGTTTCACCAGTATATTTAAAAAAAAAAAAATTTTAGATCAACAAGCTACGGTTTATTTAGCATTATTAAATTGCTGTACAAAGGTACGTAAATATTTCTTGAAGATTATAACAATCACGTCTTCAATTTGCTGACCTGGTAAGGATACAATATTGTACACTGTTCTGCCAAGGAACACTCAGTTGGTGTCCCAGATTAAAAAAAAGACTTGTACACGATGAACGAACCTTCGAAATTCTTCCTCAAGGTTACTTCGGCTTTAAATTTTAAATGCAGTTTGTAATAAAAACAGATAAGATTCAGGCTTTCTATCAGTCTAATATAATATAAAATGGTCTGTTAACATATCTAGATCGTTCGATAGTCATAGAGATAAACTGTTTATAAAGATGGCAATGTAGTTGCCGACGTCTGGCTAAAGATTGATGACCGATTAGAGAAAGTCAAGGCCTTTTTTTTAAACGGTTCAAGGGGCAAACGAGTATTCGTAACGTTTGCCCCTTGAAGTAGGGGAACTGGTACATCATTTACATCACATATCAACAGCTTTTACTAGTCCACTGCTGGACCTCTCCTTAGAAGGCAGGTTTTGGCCTACTATACCACGCTGGCCAGAGGCGGGTAAACTTTTTGAGAGGGTGCTCTCTGCCCGCATCGTCGATAGGCGATCAGGCGATAACTACCTGGACCCCTCCCAAAATAGAAGCACAAAGAGGGCACACCGTGTGGTTTTAGTCGGTTCGAGTCCGACACACCGCCCCGCCGAATAGAGAACCCCCGCGGGGTGACGGTCCGAGGGGATTTCCACACGTAATAAAAACAAAAAAAAAGGGTTTGTTTCAAGTTTTCCTCCTTAGTCTTTGCTTCCTTAGTCGCCTCTTACGACACCCACAGGATGAATAGGGGTGGTGACACTCTGTATTCTTAATCCGTCACCACACGGACTCGGGGAACTAGTAATCTCAGTTATTTTCTGTGAGGCCATGGTAAAAGTCCGGTGAAGCCGGCCCATATGCCGAAGCATGGCTCTTCTGGCTATTATTGATATATACTGAACAACTTGTACGGGACACGAGGTACTTCAGGAAAGGTTTATGCTTATTGATGAAGGTAGTAAGGTGTATTTAGGAGGTAGTTAGGTCCTGCGAGGAGCTGGAGATCAGAAGGGATATTCCAGACCGTCAACAACAAAAAAGATAGGTTTTTAGGCACCAGTTGATAATCATCAATAAAATAAGCAGGATATCCATCAATATAATATACCTTTCTCTCATTTGGTAAAGAAAAAATCGTAGCCATTTAAAAAAAAACTTGTAATGTTATATCGTCGTTTAGAAATTAATAGAAATCAGATAAATGTTCAAATGGTTATTTTGATAAATGAAAGTAAATACAACTTTAAGGATTTAGATAAACTCGTTTAAGTGTTATTTAATCTTCTTCTTGAGTTAATGTAACGAAAGCGCTCATTTGAAGAACTTTAGAAATCGCGATTTCTATAAAGTGATTTATTAAGAGCTCTTTAACGAAAGCATAGCTGTTGTATCAGACTTCAAGGTATTAATTAGCGTAAATTTAATTTAAGGTTTAAATGATTTATAGCTTTCCATTGCTAAATGTTGCATATATATGATTCTCTCATAATTAATTGTATATCTTGGCAAATACTACCAGAGGAGAGACGTCCATTTTCAGACAAGACAAATCAAGCAAGGGAGTCACATTAAGGACTACCATTAATCACGAGTGGAAAACGAACGTGAGACTACAGGATGTTGCACTTGTCCTAGTGGCCCCTCCTATCGCAATATGGACACGTACAAACAAGACTACTGTAACTCCAAGCCAGGTTTTGCATTGTTACACGTTGTTAAATATACATGATATTAGGGCTATTGAAGAGGCTGTTTCCCTGATGTGATTAAACCATCGTAGTTGACTACAGAGAGCTTATTGATATTGATTCGAATATAATAGGACGTGGGATCTGGGTGGTAATGCGAAAGTAATACATAGCTTATCATCAGGTAAAGCCGCATGTAAGTTTGGTACCATTATTCATACTAATATTATTAGTGCGAAAGTGTGTGTGTCTGTCTGTCTGTTCGCTCTTCACACTTTAACCGCTGAACCGATTTAGATGAAATTTGGTATGGAGATAGATTGATTTTTGAGGAAGGACATAGGGTACTTTTTACCGCGATGACAGTGGCTAGTAACAAATAAATTTAGAACTTACTTGGTTCCCAAATACGCCAATACTGCAGGCGACGGACACCTGATCTTCTCCGAACCATACCGCGGCCAGTCTCGGAGGCACATTTAACACAAATACTTGTGATATAGCCACGACGGTTTGACCGAGGAAGCCAAGCCAGAACATATCCGGCGGCACTGAGAACACTTTGAGCCATGCGCCCGCGCATGTCCCGAAACAACCGATTATTGTAGTCACGCGCAGATTCTGAAACAATATAAAGTTATATTACAAAGAGGAGGATATTTAACTGCTTTAAAATAAGAATAACATTTAAAGCAGTAGTTAAAATGGTTTGAAAGAAATGTTATACATTTGCGAGTAGACAATTTACACATATACTTTAAAATATTTGGAAATCTTTTCCGTATACTTTCAATAGATCTATTCAACGGTTATACTAATTTAATATAAATCTATTACTACTATTAGTTTAAAATATACACCTTCCACGCAAAAGTTTTTCACAAGGTTGGTTGGTAAGAAATGCCTCCGGTATTAAATCCACGTCATGCAATATTTTCGTAGGAAGTGTAAATAAATAATTACTTTTCAAATTCAAAGGTAGTTATGTACAGTAGTCATAACGTATTAAAAATCACTTAAGTTTCATTATTCTCGAGTTATGTTAAAACGTGGTTTCATCTATACAAATAAATAAAATTGAAGTGTCTGTTTGTAATGTCAAAATAACAGTTTTTTTTTCATTCTTACACGGTTATTTGCACGATACCTATGCCTAAAAATCAATTTAATTATTTTTTTCTGTTTGTTTGTTCCCCGTAATCTTCAACATGGCTGGACCGATTTTGATAATAGTTTACTACCAAGTAGCTGTCTATATAAGAAGTAACTTAGGCTATTTTTTATCTTAGAAAAACTCTATATACTTTTCCCTGGTCCGAGCATCGAAGTCACTTTTTCTCGAGCGCTTTTCAAACTCCACGCTAACGAAATCGCGGGCACCAGCTAGCCTATTATATTTTGTATGTTTTCACGACGCTCTTTCTCGGTATTTCCAGTTCTAATTGAGGAAGGACTAATTCTGATATAACAACACTCGCTCATAAGTTCTTTTACTTTAGCTACGCCCACTTAAACATTGTTTGACGTGAAAATAATTTAATTCAGCAGTACAGCACGTTTCCACTTCTTGATGATGTTAACGACCTTTGAAAAGTGTTTCTAATGAAACTAATATTATTTTCAATATTTCATTCCTACTTAAAGTCTTCCCTAAAAAACTACTGAATAAATAAATACATTCAATTATGCAATACATACGATTGAATTCGCTGTTTTTAGCAGACAATAACGATTTTATAAAGTTTTTTTTTTAAATTTAAATGTATCTTATGTTTTGTAATCCACCCAGTCTTTGACAATAGTGATGAGTAATGCATTTCTAATTTTTTTTTGGAATAGGGGGCAAACGAGCAGTCGGGTCACCTGATGGAAAGCGACTACCGCTGCCCATGAACGCCTGCAACTCAGGTGTCACAAGCGCGTTGCCAGCCTTAAAGGAAGGAGTACGCTCTTTTCTTGAAGGTTTTCGATCGTATCGGTCCGGAAATACCGCAGACAATAACTTGTTCCACGGATTAGTAGTGCGAGACAAAAAGTGTCTTGAAAAGCGTACAGTGGTATAGCGCCCATTATCCAAGTGGTGGGGATGAAAATAGAAGCGAAGTTGTTATCTTTATTAGATATTCAATCCTGTAAAGACACTGTAATTGTTTTTAATAAATAAATAAATAAAAAAATAAATAAATAAATAATTCCTAATGGTAGTTGTTTTAGGTTTATTTTGTTGTTGTTTTAGGTTTATTTTGTACAGTTTCATAACTCCATTAGAGTCGGTGACGTAGGTATCCAACCGCACTCCTTGGAAGTTGTTACCTTTATTAGATATTCAATTCCTAATGGAAGTTGTTTTAGGTTTATTTTGTACAATTAGCGAAGCTACATCTCTACGTAGCGCCAAGGGATCGAAGCGGTCGCAAAAATTTTAAAAGGAAAGTTTGTTTTGCTATCTCTATCTATCTAACTGCACGGATGCCGTAGTGGTTTAAGCTGTCGCCACGCCGCTTCCTACTACGCTTAATGTTTTGGGTTCGATCCCATCATGAGACGACACTTTGTGTGATTCACAAATTTTCGTTCCAAGTCTAGTTGTTCTTTGTGTCCGTTTCATGTATGTCTGTAATGTCCCTCGCGACACAAGATACCTTCCTAGTGCTGGGAGTTGTCTTTTAAACAAAAGAAAAATCTAAACAGTATATATTTATACCAAATAGTATTAAATTATTATATTAAATGATTTGTTTACGTAAAAATATATAACGTATACGTAAATATACTTCAACATTCAAAATCCTTCAATAATAGACGTATTACTTTAATTTATTCTACAATCATAACTTCTTGCATTAGCTCTGTAGATTAGAATATCATTATTACGAGATGTGGCACACATGTTATAAGAACTTTAATAAACAAATTATCTATTTATTGTGTCCATCCGTATCGTGACTCTCATAAACCATAGAACAAAAACATAGCCATCTAACGGAGACAAAGCGAACTACAGAGTAAGTACAAACCCTGTATCGCACAATGAAAGTTCACCCGTCGTTTAGGATATATACTTATACTACTTAGTATAAATTTATACTATTTAGATTTTTTAAATTCTTTCCTTTTGTTTAAAAGACAACTCCGCACTAGGAATATATTCTGTGTCGCAGGAGACTTTACAAACATACATGAAACGGACACAAAGAAAACCTAGACTCGGAACGACAATTTCTGAATCACACAATATGTCGACCCTTGTAGGGATCGATCCCACAACATTCGGTGTAGTAGGAAGCGGCGTGGCGACAGGTTAAACCACTACGGCATCCGTGCAGTCATTCAATTCAAGTGTATTTTATGTTTTATAATCCACCCAGTTATTTGACAATAATAAGTAATGCTCTACTGATACTGAAACTAGCACTGATCTAGCGGCCTCTCTAGGACATAAATATGGGTACGTGACCCCGGCCTCAAGCAATAATCCTTTAAAGCCTTAGCCAGAAATCATTAAAGATGACAAATACGGAACCTCGTTCCAAAATTTACGAGAAAAATAATATTTTATCATCAAAATTAGTTACACACAAGTATTTAGTTTGAAATAATCTAACTCTAAGTTTGGAGATAATTGAACTGACGGAGATTTACGGAATTGGTCCTGCTGTTTTTGATTGGCTGTACGGAATACCTTAAAATGATGTCATTCAGAAATAAACTACACGTTTTAAACTACCTGGTGTGATGTTACAGATAATATCCTTATCAGTACGCCGAATTAGCACCTTCTAGCAGCTAAGAAATTATAACTAAATGTAAATAATCAATTTGAATCTATCAAGGACGATCTGCAGTCGAGTATCTGTCTTTTTATTGCTAACAAGTAATAGTCAATTCAGTTTATAATAGTGTTGACGTGCTTTTATAATATGTGTAATATCTTTGAATCATGAAATCATCATTAATAGAACTGTCATAATATTATTGTAGAGGTAAAAAAATAAACTAAATAATTATTGAAAAATATTAAAAAAACTTGACCGCGTGAAAATATATACTTAAAATTTACAAACCGGCGATATAATTTTTTATAATTGAACACTAAGACGAATTTATCGTCTCAAACGCCAAAATTTATCGAGCCACATAGGCCTCATTCACGGAGACGGAGGGAGAGGGGGGCGGGTCGCGTGTGGCGTGGCTTCTCGCGGCGCGTCTGTCGTTTTTCCTGTTTACGGAGCGGCGGCGATTAAAGCTTAAATATACGACGTTGTTCATAGAGATGCGAGACTGGAAGAGTGGTGGTAGACGCCGCTGCTCACGCGGAGGGCATCACCGCGGCGCACGCGGGGTGCCTAATCAATTCCGTTGCTGTAAACAGTGGGCCACTTCTTATATTGAATAATTCACTTTTTAACATAGAATTTTCTTCTAAAAAAACGTCGATCGTATCGTAAGATTCCGCCGCGGGCATCGTTTCATCAAGAATTGACACCACGTGCGCCAATTCAAACGCTCCATATTTTTTTTCTTAAAAAAGACAACTCCCGGACTAGGAATAAATCCTGTCACGCGGGGGACAGGAATAAATCCTGTCTCTCATTGCTATAAATAATAAATAAAATATCTTTTTTGCAGGCATATAAAGTCAATAGGTTCTTTAGTAATGGGTTAGAAACAGAATGTATTTAAAGCCTATATTACAAAGGTATTATCCTTTTGCCATTTAAACCCAGTGCTTTTGTATAGGACAGTCTGGTCTACTAGCAATTGTTTTCAGGATGCCGTTCCGGGTGTTACGTAAGCACCGTAGCAAGGAAGCCGATTTTTTACGCATGATAGCATGAAAACCGTTTGACGTTATGGTGGACTGATGTACAAATACAACTGTATAATATAAGGAAAAATAGACAAAACAAAAGGAGAAAAAGGGCGTGAGGGGTCTATGGACCCCCGGTCGGAACGAAGTTCCTTTCCTTTTTTGGTAGACTTTGTTTTAACAACTCCCGCACTAGGAATAAATCCTGTGTCGCGGGGGAGTTTACAAACATACATGAAATGGACACAAAAAACTCCCAGACTCAGAACAGCAATTTGTGGATCACACAAACCCATGTGGGGATCGGACACACAACATTCAGCGCTGTAGGAAGCTGCGAGGTGACCGCTTAAACCACTACGCCATCCGTTCAGTCAAACAAACAAAACTCGCTTCTCCGTAAATAAGGGCTTAGGCTGCAGAGCGTACCAAAGAATGAAATATACACTCGTGAAACATAACCCTCCTTCTGGCAATCGGTTAAAAAAAAGCGTATATTAATGCAGTAATGTGTGTTCTCTATTACAGATTTTTATAATTAATTAGATAACACATAGCTGTCCGTGTGGTGACGGATTAAGAATACAAATTGTCACCACCCCAATTCATCCCGTGGGTGTCGTAAGAGCCGACTAAGGGAGCAAACTAAGCAGGACAACAGCACTGCAAAGAGAAGGAAAACTTGAAACAAACCCTATACCAACCCGTCTGGCCTGCGTGGTATAGTAGGCCAAAACCTCCTTTCTAAGGAGAGGCCTATGTCCAGCAGTGGACTAGTATAGGCTGTTGATGATGATGATGAGCAACACAAAAGATGGAATAGAAATGTTATAGCACGTGGTCTTAATAACAATATCTACGACATATATTTTAGGTAACGGTGTCATATTACTTGTATAGGTAAATTTAGGTTAATGACAAAATATAATAACAACAACAACAAGAAATGTGTGTGTGTGTGTGTGTGTGTGTGTAAGCGATGGAAATATACAACGACAGATGTTTGTCTGTAAATCGTTATCAGTACCATGCTGTCTTTTTAATAGCTTTTGTTATCTGCTATTAACAAATCCATAATTAATCTACATTCACTTATAATTGGATAGATACCCGCTACCAGTCATAACCAGTATGAATCACATAAGGAACTGCCGCTGTCGGCGAGTGCGCACGTTTCGTGTTCGTAACTTTGAAGATGACGAAATTTCTTACAACTGTTCATCCTTAATTTTATCCCCTTAGGAGGAAAATTGCCAAAAATACTTTCTTATTGGGTGCTTACAACATAAAAGGCAGCAGCTGCCAAAATTTTAAGTATTATATAATAATAATAATAATGTTTATATTACTCAATAAAGTTACATATTATAAAACAGAAATAAGGTTCATATAAATTATGTACTACTGTTAGTAAACGCTGATCTCTAAACTAGGTTCAGTACCTGTATTTTAAAAATCAGTGCCCCTGTTGTTTTTGATAAAATACGAAGCTATATACATATGTTCAGATCAAAAAACAAAAAAGAACAATAACATTTAAGAAAATAATAAGGAAAAGGGTTAGTTGATGTGTGTGTACTAATGTGTGTTCGAGTTTATGTATGTGTGAGGTGTGGGTGTGTACGCGCATGAGTGTATGTGCGTGTATATATGTAAGCGTGATCATGTGTGTGTATGTGTATGATTTACTTTTTCAAGCCGATATCCGAGGCGGTTTAGGCTCTGCGTTGATGAATCACTCAGTGAGGGCAAGTATTTTTTTATGTATACACTAGCTGGTACTCGCGACTTCGTTCGCGTTGAATTTGAAAAGCGCTACCTTAGTGGTATAATACGGTACGCGACTGCAGTCCATAAGGCCTCGGGTTCGATTCCCGGACCTGGTAATTTGTTTATGGGGGTTTTCCGAGAGGAAAAATAGCCTAAGTTACTCCTTATATAGACACCTACCAGTAAAATATTATTAAAATAGGTCCAGCTGTTTTGAAGTTTACCCGGATTGTTCCGATTCGACCGTTCTGACAGACAGACAAAAAATATTTAAAGTGGTTTTTAGGCATAGGTATCGTGCAAATAACCGTGTGAGCATGAAAAAAACTTTAATTTTATTTATCTGTATACAAATAAACGGTTTTACTCACGCATACTATTCGGGGATCTATAACTTTATACGATACTAACCGTGGAAGAGCCATTCATCTCCACAAATATTTCGGCAAAATAAGGAATTAATTTTCCCCGTTTTCGCAAAATTATTCACTGATGCTCGGCTCCTATTTAGTCATAGCGTGATGTTATATGCCCTATAGCTTTCCTTGATAAAGGGGCTCTCTAACACGAAAATATTTTTTCAATTCGAACCAGTAGTTCCTAAGATAAGCGTGTTCAACCAACCAAACAAACTTTTTGACTTTATTATATGTTAATAAGTACCTGTAGTGACGGATTAAGAATACGGAATGTCACTACCCCAATTCATCCCGTGGGTGTCGTAAGAACCGACTAAGGGCGCAAAACAACGCAGGACACCAGCACTGCAAAGAGAAGGAAAACTTGACACAAACCCTATACCAACCCGTCTGGCCAGCGTGGTATAGTAGACCTAACCTCCTTTCTAAGAGAGCCCTATGTCCAGCAGTGGACTATTAAATTAAACTGGTTTTTAGGCATTGATACCGTGCAAATAACTGTGTGAACATAAAAAATCGATGAAAATCTATTATTTTGATATTACAAACAGGCACTTCAATTTTATTTTTTTGTAGAGATAAATTACACCCAGACACCAGACAGAACAAATGACAGTGTTTACCACACAATTATTTCTAAGGATATTCTAATTAGAGGCCTTTTTTTTTCCGCGGGAAAATCCGCGGGAAATCCGCGCGGGCTCCGTCTCAAGGACCTCTCTTAGGCGACGTCCGGCACACGCGGACGCCGCCCCCTCGCGGCTGGCCAAACTAATGCGGGTGGAGGGGAGAACCCATCCCGTCCACCCGCGGCCACACTCAGGGCGGCATGAGGCGCAGGTAAGCGCGCGGATCAGGTCCGAGTGGAGGTCGTCCTCCCGGGCCTTCTCCGCCGCCTCCTTCTGCGAGAATTCTAATTAGAGGCCTATGTCAAGCATTGGACTATTAAAGGCTATTGATAATGATGTTGATGTAAAGTACCTGTAGATTCTATAAAAACTTATCTTTTTTTTTTCATAGAAATGTTTGATAATGTAAATTTAAAATGGTTAGTACAGTGTGTTGTATTATGTTTCAGCTGGTTCATCTTTCTGTATTGGAATGCTGACTTGCTAAACGTCAAGATGAAACAGCGAAAAGTGTTTATTCAGGTGTCTTACGTCAGTTATTCGCCAGCTCTTGGTATAGTAATTATCTTATACTCCGCCTGTTACTGGCTGATATTGTAGCTTTCGGTATAGTGGTTTAGGTGTAAAAGCGTAACACACTCGTATAAACTCGGCATGGGACAAAATCACAATGAACTGTGAAGGCCGGTAAATTATCATTAGATTTTTTCGTACGTAGGTTAGGATTACTATTTTTTTATGCGTTGTTGCCAATAAGCTATTTTCAGACGACGCATAACTACCCTATTTCACCTACTTAACAGTAAATCTATATAATAATTCGAAAAAATACTAGATTTACTGTTATTATATTATATATTTATCAGTACTAGATAGGATCACATTTGTCACGACAAAATATAATAAACCCTTAAAATTGACATAATTTCTTCAAATTGAAATAGTATTTACCTTCGGTAAAACCAATTAAAATACCAAAAAATAAACTATTCACAAAATCAAAAAATAAAAACATCAATAGTAATAAGAACATCCTCATTTTGAAAATAAAAAAAGGAAAACAATAGAGAAACAGATAGTCCGTATGGTCCGTGGGTGTCGTAAGAGCCGAATAAGGGTAAAAACTACGCAGAACAACAGCACTGCAAAGAGAAGGAGAACTTGACACAAACCCTATACCAACCCCTCTGACCAGCGTGGTATAGTAGGCCTAAACCTCCAGCAGTGTACTGTTGAAGGCTGTTGACGAATAGAGAGTAGTTAAAATATAGGATAACACATAAATCTGGGCTACTCCTAATTACATATATAACGACCTCAAAGTCTTACGCCAGTAGCAGTTAAACCCACAGTGATGTCATTAATGTGCCGAATCAAGCGACGTCGTCTCATATTAATTACAGACCTCCTTAGAAACACACGCTGAGATATATTAGGTGTTCACCGAATTAATTCTTACAATAGGAACAGCGTTAATTACTTTCTCTTCTCTAATGAACGTGTGTTATTTATCCTATTCACACTTTGAATGTGCATGTCTAAATAATATACAAGTATATGTATATATGTGCGTATGTGTACTGTGTTTGTTAGGGGTTGAGCCTTATGAGAAGAAAGGGCAAAACAAACTCATGGCCACTCTTTTGCAATTTACAGATAAATACAATAGCATCATTTTTAATGTACATGAAAATATACCAGAAGATTGTTCCGATGTGTGTCAGTATGTCCTTTATTTGATTAAAAGATAAAAAGACAACGAAGAGAAAAATAAGATTTAGGAAAAAAGATTAAGTAAACGAGAAAGTGAAGTGAAATATGAAAAAATGAAAAAAAA